AGTTTGATCCAATATATTTTATATTTTTAAATCACTATAAGTTGAGTTTTTTACATTTTATTTTAATAATTAATGACTTTATATTATACAAAAAATCAATCACTAACTATTATATATAAGATAAACAATGACAAAAATAAGAGAATAAATAAAAACCTAAATATATATTTATATATATATTTTAATCAAGCCAAATAGAAAATGACCACACTTATTATTATTATTATTATTATTATTATTATTATTATTATTATCAAACAATATATTGATAGATACACACAAACAAAATAGTTGAGTGATAACAGCTGAATAGAATAGCATAGGTCTTACAGCTTCAACAAATCAATAACACGTTATTTGTCTTCCCTCTCTTCTCTCTTTATCTCTTACTCCTCCATCTTCTCTCTTTATCTTCCCTCTTCTCTTTATCCATCTTCCCCCATTTTCAGTTTTTTTTTGTGTGTATTTTTTTTTGAAAAAAGCAGTTCGGAACCATTACGTAACGGTGCATAATAGGCCATTACGATTGTTACGGCACCGTTACGACTGCTACGGTAGCCGCTACGGCCGACACACCTGTGAATCTCAATCACACTACAAAAACGGCCGTAACGGGTGGCGGTAACCACTACAACCGTTACGTAACAGTGTTACGTAACGGTTGCGGCAGCTTTTTAAAATCTTGGTTGTGCGGTTCGGGCGATTTGGGTGTAAAATTACAAATCGAATGGCGGGTTAGCAGATTAACGGATTGACAAATTACGGTTTAGGCAATTTTTAGCAGATTGGCAAATTAAAGAGTATTCTAACATATTATCATACATTTGCATAATATATAACACTAATTTGTATAATATTTTTTAGATATATAACACAAAGTAATTTTACATAATATGTTATATATATATAACTACTAATTTGTAACAAATTTCATATCTTAAATCTCTCTCATACTTATTTTTACATTGATATTTCATTAGAAGTTAAATAATATATATGTATTAACTATAGCGGAGCGGAGTTGTTCAGTTGGCGGATTATAAATTTTAAGGTTTCAAATGTGGTTAGGGGTTAGAGTGGTGCGGATTGATGCAGATCGGTGCAGTTTTAGCGGATTGAATGGTATTTTGCACAGCTCTAAATGCAACCCGTGGACAAAAGGAAAGGCTTGTGTCAATTATTTATCAAAACAAAAGACAAAAACCAATTCAAGGTTGCTACAAAATCCAAAACTAAACTAGTTCAAGGACAAATTAACTGCACTGGAGAACCAATTATATTATAGGTAAATGAATTCATTGAATCTCTTAAACATGCTAGTTCACTTATTGTTTGTAATATTGGAATTTCTTTACTTTTTTGCATGGCTTCCTTAGATGGGCATCCATAAGAGGCTGGGTTTTAAGTATATCCTATTAAAAATTGATACAATTTTTCCTTGTTCTGAACCTTCTATTGCATTATATGTGAGCATGTTATATGTCGAGTTATATATAGTTATCCCTACTCCATTGATGATTATGTGGCATCCTTAACGTACTTATACTTGATGTAATTATACTTGATATAGTCATTGATACCAATGTAAAGGGTGTATGTTACGCCACTTGGTCCCTCTTATGATTGAAAGCAAGCAAGGAATTATTGTCAATGTCATTTGGGTGGGGAAGATCTGCTGCTACACAGGTATGACATAAAAAGTTGCCAGTGTACTTTTATCCCAAAGATTTGTTCTTTTTTATTGATATTGTTCTGTGTGCGCAAACCTTGATATTCTGTCTGTGTCAGAGATAAATGTTGTTTAACTTTGTTCCTCGTTGCAATTATGGTTCTTGATGATAGTTGTGCAGCTTGTGCTGCATGAAATTTTATTTACTATTTTGTCCATTTGATAAAGATAAGGCTATGGTTAATGAAAACAATGGTTTTGCAGTGAGGTTAGTGATTATCTACTTTTCAATGAGTCACTGTGATGATTATTCAAGTAGAACTAAGAAACTTTGCATTTTGGTTGACCTTAGATTACGATATTTTTGTGTTCTCTGCCATAGGGAAATTTTTAACCATCAATGAATTTACAGTTTTACATTTTGAGTATAGATTGAAGACAACTTGGGTAATTTGGTGTTGTGATAACCGTATTTGTCCTCTGAAAATCTTTACTTCAGCTCACTTTAAATTTCCTCAGTATTGATGTGTTCCTGGAACTAAATAAATATTGACAGGTTGCACCTTATTGTGCTCCAAAATGGGCGGTAGAGTGCCTGACTAGGTCAGCAACAAAGGAGTTACATAGTGGAATGGCAATTGTTGCACTCAATCCAGATGTGATAAACATGGACATGCTTGTGTCATTCTTTGGCAGTTCAGCTGATTTATACCAGACACTGGAATCATGGTATTTATTTCTGTTCTTTTTCTCATATGTTTTACATTACAACACCTCATCTACATCTTCTAGAAAGCTGTCTTATTTCAATTATGGTATATATAAAATTTCTTGCATATTATTTTCAATATCATTCATATCAATGCAAGAAATTCTAACTGTGGCTATGTTGAAATTGAGATTTTGGATTTAATTAAAAGAAGAGCATCAACCTCAGTAAAGCTGCCTAGCAATCATTTGTGAATTTGATATTTTTTGTTGATTGAAATCAAAGATCTAAAACTTATATTGAAAGATCAGACAACTACTTGAAAATTATTTTTGTGCTTTTTTTTCCAGTTACTTGGCAGTAATATCAATTTGCTGGTTATACCAATTTCCTTGAACATTGCCTTTTTTTGGTAGAATATCAAATATAAAATCATATCAAAGAAAAATTCTGAACATCTGGTGCAAAGTAACTCCACTTGTACAATGTCCACTGATTCTGCAAATCCATTTTTAGAGGTCAGGTGGTCTATTCTCGAGAACAATCCTAAATTGCTTGAGCCACAGTAAAAGTTGCATATCAAAAGTCTGATGCGGAACATCCGATGCAAAGGAACAATGTAGTTTTTTTTTTTTTTTTTTTGGGTGAATACTTCATAAAATAAAATAGCAAAATGGGCAAATACAAGATTACAAGGGGCATACCCCAGGACCTACCAAACTATACAAAGCCACAGAAGCACACGAGCGACTAGCTAACTAAACAGAGGCTACAATAGAAATCTAATTGCCCTGTTCAAAACCCCATCAAAGATAGATAGGGCCAAGAGCAGACCATAATAGAGCAAAACAAAATCTCCATTCACCTCCTCAAGGTGCAAAATAGCAGCATTGAAACCAGCCAAAGGGCCTAACAAGACACTAAATTAGAGAACTGCACAACCCGCAGAAAAATACATCCAAAGCAGAGGCCCACAACACATCCAAAGCAGCCTAACTGATAAATACAAATCTAAAGGAGGAACAATGTAGTTACGACTAGTTCTCTACTAAAATCTTTTTATGTCACTGATTTATGATAATTCCATGAGAGATAATGTCCTCCAATCTTCAAGCTTGACTGGAAAAGCTTGAAGATTCATTGGCCATTACACCAAAAAAGATCGACCTTGTCACGGAGAACCTCGTATCCTTTTACATGGCTATGCCTCCTACTGCGACCCTCTCGTACTTCTTCCCTCTCCCTAGTAGTCAAAACCGTTAAATTATCCTAGTAGAGCTTCTAGACAAATCATCTAACAAATTGTTATTTTATATTTTCCTGTTGCTATTTTTTGCATTTTCTGAGCTTACAATGGCAGACAATGATGCATCTCTCACTGTGTGAAGGAAGCATCTGAGCAACATGCTAGCGTTCGTTTGTGTGCAGATACCATATAATGAAAACTTTTGGCATCTCGAATCATTTTTTAACGTTCATTGCAATATATTTGGATTTTCTAGAAAATGCTGCAATTGCTAGGTAATTGGAATTTTGGCGTTGTCAGTATAATATTTTCCGGTTTGGCCGAGGGAATAGTATTTGATTTGATATTAAGCTATAAAGCATCTTATTAATATTATTGCGGAATCCATACAAGGTCTTATGAATTCCTTTAGATCCACTGCAAGCATAAAAGATTCTAGTCACAGATTACTTGAAAGTTACCATACCGACGAGTTTCACAAGATATGATCAGATTACATGGCCGTCAAACATGGCTTCTGCTGTGGCTCAATCTCTTTTTATTGTTTTCTTGAAAGGCTCGAGCTTTTGCAACTAGTGAGGAATTTAAGAACATGTTTGACAATCTACATGAGAAAATGTGTTTGTGGTGTCCCGATGCACAGGATGTGTCCCTTTTGAAGGTTTAATATTGAAAGCATAAACTTATTATCCTTTTGGTTTCGCTTACATTTGTTATGCAGCCTTCTTTCTTTACTTGTTTGAAAATGTTAGCTTTAGCTATTGTACCTTAGGAATGATGTTTGGTAAAAAAAAAAAAATAATTTTTTCCCCCCCAAAGTAATGTGTTGTGTAATATTTAAATATATATATATATATATATATAGTACTTGTATCACGTGCCTAATAAATTAACAGTCTCAAGATAGATGTGACACATCCAGACCAAGCCATGTCTCATATTCCAAACACAATTCAGAGAATGTTCTCTACATTCTCTTGTTAAAGCAAATTGAGTGTGCTCTCATTTATTTTTATGAACTATAATATACCGATTGTGTAACGCCCCAAATTTCTAACCCAAATGATAAGACAACAATCATGACTTTTTCAAGGAAAACTGAATATAAATCTCCAAATTTACATTACATGATACAATAGTTCTTCATGCAACAATACATTAATCCAACAACAAGTAAATAAACAAATAAATACCTCCATGGGTTTATAAGTTTCCAAGGCTTGAGCCTGATTACACAAAACGGTTATTCAAACCCACACAAACACAGCCCTTGGCTTACACACAGAGTCATAGCAAAATGAGAGTATTGTACTCCCAACACACATACTTCCACGGCCCTAGTTGGGTGGGATCACCACATCTTTTCCTGCACAAAAATCCCGTAGGGTGAGCATAAAGCCCAGTATGAAATTCTTAACAAAGTATATACATTTTATACAAGTCCCAAGAGATGAAATGCACATGCCATGCTATGGCCTTTTTGAAGATAAATCACATTTTCATCTTTTGAAAACCATCATGCTCAATGATATCATGTAATTTCAATTGTTCAAAACTTAACAATTTATTTCAAGGGCAGTAAATACGACTCTGGTAATCCCTAGGTTGGTGTCTGCAAGTAGACTATACAAGTACTACCAGATTATCATTTTTACCGGTATTAACCGGAAGGCTCGACACCTATCCGCGCGAGTTTTTAGTCTTTCACCTCGGACTCTTAGGCCAACTTATTCAATATTATCTACACCACCTATCAAGACTTACCAATGTATTTACCCCAAAACCATTTCATAAAAACTTGTTTCTCAACATTCTTTTCTCAATGCAAGTTTTCAAATTAACTTTCAAAGTTTAATGTAATCAAATGAATTGATATATCAATTTCACAAGATGAATATAAATACTTTTATTCCAATTAATCATCCAAGGAATAACACAATTCCCTTTTCTCAAGTATCCTTGACAATTAGTTATTTCAAGACTATTTCAACGTTTTGAACAATAATTTTCAAAATGAACAACAATTCTCATATTCCTTGAAATTCATAATTTATATAAATATAAATAAGAAATTTTCCAAACATTGATTTATTTTGACAGACAAAATAAATATAACAATATCATTCATGGATTTTCAGTCTCCTTTAAAAAAATTCTCAAATTCTAGGTTTTCTCACCAAAACTATACAACTCAAATCTTTTGAAAGAAAACTTTCTAAAATCATCTTTTCTTCAATCAACCAAGATCAAAATCCATAAGATCATTTTAAAAGAATAAGAGACAAACCCATTTTCAAAATTGCTCAACTTCTTGAATCAACAATCAATTTTCAAAGCTATCGAAAGATGATTTCGAAAATCATATAGATCTTGCAAAAATATATATATAACTCTAAGAAAATCCCTACCTTAAGTTTTGAAGAAAAAAATGAGATGTAATCCCCAAAATCAACTGTGTCGAAATTCGATCTTCATCGCACACAACGAAGCCCTCGAGAAGTTAACCAACTTTGATGAAGAACTTATGACAGAACTCTAATGGATCTTGAGAAATCAAGGTTTTGATCCAATTTGGCGTAAAGAAATGTAGAGAGAAGGGAAAGGAAAGGGTTTTTAGAGAGAGAGAGATATACAAAAGTGATCTGAAATATCAGATTCACGAACTAATATAACATGGTCTGCTCGAGTGTGAAAAGCCCCGCTCGAGCGTCAAATACACTTTCCTAGTACCTTTGCAGACAAGTCAAACTTCTGAAACCAAACATTCTCCGCTCGAGTGCATAAACGGCCGCTCGAGCGAACAAGAAACTTCTAATGCATTTTGCATTTTTACTTCGGGAGCGCTGCCCCTCAACTCCGCCAGGGCGCTGCCTTAGGACCCGCCAAGAGGCGCTGCCCCCTGGACCACCGTGAGCTGACCGGGCAGCTTGATCCCCGCCAGGGCTCTGTCCTTGGACCCACCAAGGGGCGCTGCCCACTGGACCCCTGCGAGTTGACCGGGCAGCTCGATCCTCGACATACTCAGCGAAGTGACAAAATTGGGATCGCTACAGATTGGATATAAAAAGTTGTAATAAAATTGTGTTAAATTATATTTTGGGAGTTGGTAATAAACCCCACATCTTTTCGGTAGACGCCCATATCCTTTTCCCTCTAACCTTCTTACTATTCCAATAGATAGTTATATGAATCATTAGGCTAGTTGCTTTGTTCTAATTTTACTTAACATAAAATTCTCATATTATCCCTATCCCTAACTCCACCCACCACCACCTTTCCCCTTCCCACAACCTCCTCACCCTCTGGTCCTTTCTTGTTTATCTTCATGATCCATCGCTTGTTAAACAAATTTTCTCTTTTGTACGATTCTAGGGTTTTGTAGAGGCAATGGTAAGGGTTTTGTAAAGGTAATGGTTTATGGAGGCAAGGTGTTGTGTCAAAGGTGGCACCAGTGATAGGAAGGGGTTGTTGGGCAGGAAGCGGGTCATTGGGAAAATGGGTTGGAAAAGGGTTGTAGTAAAAAAGATGGGGCATGAGAAGGGGTCATCGGTGGGAAGGGCCAAAGGGTAGCAAGAGGCGGGAACTATTGGAGGAAGGGTGTTGTAGAGGTGAGGATCCAAAGAAATGAGTTGGAATTATAGCTGGTGGTGAACCAGAAAGTTGGAAAACAACTTTGGAGTGTGGAGATCAAAAAAAAGTGAAGGTTCAAAGTAAATAGGTGAGTCTATTAGCAACGGTCCATTAATTCTTTTGGGTTTTTTTATTGTTAAATTA